AATATTATTAAATTTTCGTCTGTATGTTTATTCGATATGCTTTGCACGATTAGTTTGTACGAAAGAACATTCTTGTCGACCAATAACCTTAACAAGAAATATTAAAAAAAAAAACTCCCAGCGCATGTACAGGTGTAGAACTTGTTATAAACTCTATAACTAAGACATCGTAGTCTCTAAGGGCATTCTCAAGCACCCACCTCAATGAATTCAATAAAAAATCTGATTGGCCAGTTTGATTAAACTGACCAATCAGATTCGTCATTAAGGTAGGTGCATGAGAACACCCTAAATCATCGTTTGAGACAAAGTCTAATCTAAGACACATAGTCTAAGACGAATAGTCTCGAGAAACTTTCCCAAGGCGAAAACCTATGCCTTAAATACCTTTTAATTGCTAAGGACTACTGCACTATCTCTATTGTTTACAATTTTGTCTACAATTCTGCTAATATCTTATTCGCAATATTTGCTCACAGCCTTGGCCAACAACCGGGAGCCAATAATTACTTACTTGTACAACAATCCCGAAATTGATCTATATCACTAAGCCTCCGTCAGCAGCCTAGGAGCCTCACAAAATTCTAGTGGCTCGGGTCATTTAGGCGTTTAATACTGCCAAATCACATGGAAGTCACAGGTTTAAAATTTAAACCGTGACAATCAATGTTAGATATCTAATGTTCTCAGTGTTCTCAAGAACATTGAAATATTTTTGAAAACACAATTTTTGAAAATTATGTTCTCATTTGAGAACATAAAATTTGTAAATTGTATTATAACTAAAAACTTTTGATAACATTAAAAATCTTTCTGAGAACCTAAAATTTAAAATTTATGTTCTCAGAGAACAAAAAAAAAATTTCAGATCTCTAACACTGGTGACAATACCAATACCAATTACAGCATACAAATTTGGCAACTATTGTTGTAGTAGGCAGGCTTATTGCACGGGTCTTAAGTGACAACCTGTGCTTTTTTTATTTATAGTTATTATATGGGTATATGAATAACCTAGTTACACACACGGGTTCATATTTAAATCCCGTGCCTTCGACACGGAATATGAACCTGCGTGTAACTAGGCTATTCACACATACCCATACAATATATAACTAAAAATTATTGCCTACAATGGGTGTTTGATCAGTAGATGTTTAATTAGCTGAAGTTATTGTAGTAATTCAGGCATAATTTACTACATGGAGAATATAAATATTATTATAACGTGTGGTAGATACTTGGCTGAATATTTAAAATTAAAGCTTGATATTTGATTGGCAAATTTATATATATTTTTTGTTTTATATAAAAAAAATATATTTTTTTATTCAATGATTAATAATATTCGAATCTATTTTAAATCCACTTATTAAGTTGAATTCGAAAACTTTAAAATCATGTTAAGTAAGAATTTGCTGCAACATATATCGAACATAACCTTATTACTTTATAAACTAGATTAAATAGGCAAATGGAAATTTGACCCAATATATTATTAGTTAATATTTTTGAGCTAGACTACGTCTATCCAGAACATACTTGTCCACCACAATTATCCGCACAATAACTATAGCAACAACAATGACTAGCACAGTAAAAATCTGCAATACCGTAACCTACATTATATTGTCATTATTATGATAAATTGAAAATTAATGTGAGTTTTTTAGAGTAATTCAAAATATAAACCTCGTTTTATTAGCAATTAGCTTGGTATAGATATATACAAGGTAGAAAGTTAGACAAAATTTTAAAGAAACGTCATTTTTAAAATGCGATTGAACTCGACAAGGAAAAATTAATAATAATACCTTTACGGCCAATAGAGACTTCTCCGACTAAGATGCTGGAGAGATTGCAAAAAAAAAAAATCAAAAAAATGCATTTCATAATTGCAGGATTTGGAATGATGCAATTATGTTGTTTAAAAGTTATGGAAAATTGGAATTTATTCGAGTATTGTTAGCAAAAAGGTAAGGAAGCCTTTTCTTTTAAAGCTTTGAAACACCGAGATTTAGGTCACATTTTTTTAACTAGTGTTACAAATCAAAAAAATCAAAAATTACTACTAATCGAAAAGTTAACAACTAATTGATTGAAAAATTTTTGTCAACTTATATTAAAATTCAACAAAAATCAAGTAAAAATTGAATAAACAAAAAGTTGACAATAAAATTTTTGGCAATTTGTATCACTGTTATGCGTCATTTTTAATTTTCATCAATTATTAATTGACGCATGTCATTTTTAATTGAAAAATAACATATATCATTTTACAATCAGTATAAAATTTGCAAATTAATAAAGAGAATTTCTAAAATTACGGGTATTAATTTATTGATTTGCAAATCTGTGTAACATATAAATTTATAAAAAAAAACTACTTAATATTAGGGCTAGAGTTAGAGTTAGAAGTTAGAAGTTAGAGTTAGAGTTAGAGTTAGGGTTAGAGAGTATTTTATACTAAAATTTTGTGTAGATTATTTTTTGTTAGAACCTTCAAAGTAGTTTCATAAGTAAAATTTTGAGAAATTTTGGGTAATAACAATACCCCGTGTGTACACACTAGTGTACAAATAGCAATTCTTATTAATAAAACTAATGTAAATATTTACTATATTATATTTAAACGAAAATATTCAAATAATGCAAGCTAATTAAAATTACTAGAACTAAAAATTTTTACATTGTCCACGTAAAACACATCTACAACACCTTGAGCATAATGAATTTTTTTTTCTACAGGAGCAAGATTTAGTATTGCAATTTGTTTTTCAACAATTGCATGAATCTGAGCGAGATTTTTGACTTTTATTATTATTTGGAAATGTATAAGCTATGTGTTCTTTGATTGAGTATTCTTGTGTTGAATATTTTTGAGTTTGGTGTTTTTGTGTTGGGTGTTTTTGAGCTGGGCATTCTTGCAAAATATTACTTGTATAACTTGTTTATTGAATATTATAAGTTTGATGTTTATGAATATTATAAATTGGACGTGTAATATTTTGCTTGTGTCTGCCTATCTTAATGAAAGTATACTGTTCAAGAGAACAATATCAAGATCTGGATAATCAGAAGCACCCAGTGGTTCAAGTTTACTTGCAGGGAACCACTTGGTTAATTATTCCGAATTTACAAGCAATTTAGTAAGAATCTCGATTTGGCCATTTTACATGATAATGATCTTCGATCTATTTTTAATTTGTCTATATCTTGAAGACGAACTTTTATGAGTTCATCTGGCTCATATGATCAATTTCTTTTGGTTCCATACTTTGTTTCCATTGTATTTTTGATAAACTCCCGGTTTCTTTTAATATTTAATATCGCTACTTGACGAACAACTTCATGATGTTTTTGATGTATAGGACGATTTGAATTTGTAATATTCTGCAATGTTATTAATTGCTAAAAAAAATAATAATAAAATAAGATTTTTCATTTATAACAAAAAAGCAATATAATTAATTATAATTTAAAAAAATAATATAATTACATCGTTATTTCTAATTATTTCATGAGACTTAACAATTTCTTCTCGCCATTTTCTTTTTTCTTAATAGGTAAAGCATTCATTTGATTCTGTATCACTAATTTCAATAATTTCTTGATTATTATGATCGTAATTATCATAATTATAATCATAGTTATTCTGATTGTAATTATCATTGATATAATTATCATGATCATAATTATCAAGATCATAATTATCATTATCATAATTATCATGATTGTAATTATTGTAATCGTAATTATTAAGATCGTAATAATTATTATCATAATTATCATGATTGTAATTATCGTAATCATCATCATTATCTGGTATGGTTATTATTTTGAACTCTTTTCTGTTGTAAATCTAGTACTTTCTGTTCTGATCAGCACTAGTATTTGAATTACATGTAAAATATTCTAAGCTATTTAAATTAGAGTCATCTGAATTGTATCTTTCTAAATCAGAACTATTACTAATATCTGGTTCTGACTCTTCATCATCATAATTATTATTGCTATTTTCTTATAATATTGCTGCTGTATTACAATCATTATAAGAAATTTGACCAAATACCAAATTGTAGGGTGTTGTCTTGTAAGCTGAGCAATACTGGTTATTTATAGCCCCTATATAATTAAATTGTTATTACTGAAATTATAATAATATATAAATCGATATATATATAAAAAAACTTATATATTACAGATTTAAGACCAATACTCCAATCTGATCTACCTGTTTCTTCCATACATGCACCTAACTTTACTTGTAATATATCATTCCCTTTTTCTACAAGTCCCTGGCATCATGAATTTCTTAGCCATCTATGAACTACTTTAATTGTTAGCCAGAAACTTAGTATATCTTTAAAAGTGCTTCCAATAAACTCTCCTCTATTATTTGTATGTAAAATCACCGGAGAATCATACATAAAGCAAAAGTTAAGAAAAGATGTAGCAGCTTCTTCAGCTGACTTAGACTGTGCTAGTTCAGCATATGAGAAATGGGTAAAATAATCTCTAATATGAAATATATACTTATATCCTCGATCAGGAATTGCAGTCATATTAATAGTATCGAACTATAACATATATATTATTAATAATAATAATTTTTTTTTTTATTTACTAATATAAATTATTTACTTGTCTGAATATGATTCAAAAAGCCTTCAGAAACAATTGGACACATTGGTGAAATTCTTTTTAAAGCTCTTTGAGTAATACATTACATTACATTCATTGACTGAATTTTCTACTAACTGTTGAAAAATATAGCAATATTGAACATGTATCTAATAATTATTAAGTAAAAAAATTTTTTTGTTTATAATTGTTTTTATTTTTTATTTTTTTTTATACCTTTTGCCAGGTATTCTCTTGACTGCCATGCTCAGTTGCTTGATGAGTAACACAAATAACTTCATAAAAATTTTCAACTAAGCATACTTGAGTTCCCAAATTATTTTTGTTTTGTTTACGTATATGAAGTTCTTTTGTTGTACCAATAAGCTGAACTTTAAAGATATTAATGGTCCAATGTTTAAATGTAGCATTGCACTAAATATTTGGATTTTTTAATATTTTAAAACATTCATTTTAGTGTTCTCTATTCATCAAACTTCATTTGTTTTTTCTTTGACTTGTGTATGTTTCTAATATTCAGTTAAAGGTTTCACGAGTCAGAAAAGAATAATTTTGTGGATTCATTATTAGAAAGAAAAAAAAAATATATGATGATAAAAGATTATTTCTCAAATTTTATTTATTTATTTATTATTATTGGTATCAATTTAATTTAATAAGCTATCATTGATTAGTGAATGGATTCATCAACTCATGACTCGAATAATTCATAATTCGCGAGTATTAATGGGACCTTCTGAATTATTAACTGATTGATCAAATTATTTAATTAGTTTATGATGTATAAAAAATGAAAAGTTGTTTTTCAAAGGTTGCTGAAATATTGGCAGACCAAACTTTTACTAAATCTGTTGACAGTTTATTTAATTCATTATTAAAGGCAATCAAAGTTAATAAATATTAATAATGCATTATTAATTTTTCATTATTAACTAAAAACTCAGAGGTTTCATCACTACTCGTGAGTACTCACGAGTTAATTATTAATGTATAATGAAGTTTAAAATAATACTTTGCATTAAAAATTTGTAATCTGCATAAATAATGTCGTAACTTTTATATAAAAAAGAAATAAAAACGATCTACTAATAATTACGCAACAAACCATAATGATTGTCTGGAAATTAATCAATCCAAACGATCATTAATGATATCATCGTTGCTTCATATTTCATTTACAGTTTGCATCATATTTTGCTTCATACCTCGTTAATAACTTGCAACTTATAAAATTTATTAATAAACTAATTTCAAAACTCGAATTATAATATAAGAATTGACTTGGGCCATTTATCAATCGGTGGAAATTAAAAAATGACAGCCGTCAATTAATAATCAACGTAAATTGAAAAATGACGCATAACATATATAAAGAATGATAGTTTAATATAATGTTAGACAAAGTAAATTCAAGATTTTTATGATTTTTATCAATATTTGGTCACTGCTTGTATCTAGTGACCAATCGTGAAAGTGATACAATAATAGAGTACTGCAAGATATTAGGTATGTAGATCATAATGGAAAGAAGTAGACCATGTAGTACATAATAAATATTGAAATGTTACAGTTACACTTAAAACAAACTCTAAAACATTGTCGTTATTATATTTCCTTTTAAAGGTTTATATTAGGCGCGTGTTTATAATTCAGACGATTTGCAGTTACAAATTTGTTCAATAATGTGCCCATAATGATAAATAAAAAAAAAAAAAATAGGCCAGGTTAGATTTGATTGGTTGAATAAAAGAATGTCATCCTTTTGCAATTTTTGTAAAACAAATTATATTTCAGAAGTTATGCTCTCAAAATTAATTCTATTATGACATTTTGTTATACGGCAAATAAAATCATATATTAAAAATTAAGAGGATAAATTGTAGATATATTTATTAAGAAATTGAATTAAATTCACAAGTTAAAAGTCAAACGGGATTTGTAAAGAGTATATCCGAAACATCATTCAAAGTATTACGACAAAATTTTATTTTGTGGATCTAAATAAACAAATAAATATCGTACCATCTTTATAATACAGATACAATAAAAGTTTGCCAGTATATACCAATTCACTAACACATTTCAACTTCTATAAAATGAATTAAAGTACCTTATAAAGCCACGAGAAAATGTGTGCTATGTAAACAATCTGACCAATTACAAATTTTCTTGCCTAATAAAATTTCAGTTGGCCAATCAAACCATGACAAATAAAATTTGATATTACCGGTAATTAAATATACTACTGTATAAAGTATTTTGAACCCTCGTGAATTATTAGTGAATTATTAGTAAAATAGTTTTAAGAAAGTTCAGTTTAGAATCCAACCTGAACTTACTAATAAGAGTTTTTTCACTTTAGAGAAGTTAACAATTCAATTCTTGCCTGATAGATAACTGTATTACACTTTCATTATGTAAGTCGTTAATATCAGAAGGACAAAATAAATAAACGATTAATATTAACCACATGAATTTGATCGATCACAACTAAAAAGTATAAATTTTAAAGTTACACTTATTCTGCAACCTTCCCCAATATTTTCCAATAGTTCGATCAAAAAGAATTATATTCAAAACATTTACGTATGTACGTACATACGTACGTAACGTACATACGTACGTACATATCAGATATGTAATGTAATGCATCTTTGTTTAGAACACTTTTTAAGTAAATTATCTTGGCATTAATTTTGCACAAATCATTATTGTGATGCGTGACATAAATGGATACTTGTGTTCTTGTTTTATACTGCGTGGGCACATCGTATGTTAATTTAGGCGTAAAGTACGACAAACATATATATAACTTGTATTATAAAAAACTAAAATTCCACATACTTACGTTTTTAGAATCAAGTTTTTTTTTGATTTTTAATCATGGCGAACAGAACCTCATTTCCACCTGACTTTAAAGATGCGGCATTTACAGCAGTTAAAGCTACAGCTGAAATTGTAGGCACTTACATTCCTTTAATTCATTCAGTAGCAAGTATAGTTAAAGAAATTTATCAAGTTTATGAAGATGCAGAGTGTAATAAAGAAATATGTTCTATAATGATGGAAAGAGCAAAAACAGCAGAATTCGCAATGAATATGATGAAAGATAAGAAAGAGAATGAAAAATACTATCGTCAAAAAGAATATTATATTGCTTTTAAAAAATTTGAAATTTGTTTAAGTAAAATTAAACATTTTACTGATAAAGTTTCAAAACTTAAAGATTATAAAAAATTTCTTAACGCTTCAAAAGTTAAAAATGAATATGAAAAACTGACCGCTGAATATGATGCTTGTATGAGAGATTTACATTTTACTATTGCAATAGCTAATGAAAGTGCAAGAGTAGAAGATTCTAAAAAAGTTGATGAAACTTTAACACATATTGAAAATGTATTTAATTACCTTTATTAACTGCTGTATTTGTTTTTTATTTTTTTCAAAAATTATTAATTAAAGTTTCTTGTTGATTTTTTCTTTTAGTATCTTGAAAAATTTAAAAATAATTTCGATGAATTTAAAAATAATTTTGATGACAAATTCGATGAGCTGGCTCAAGAAATATCTATTTTAAAAACTCAACATCAAGAAAATCCAAAAGAAGTTCAAGTGGACAAGATCAATTCAAACGAATTGATAGAGCCTAATATTCAGAAAGATACTGATGTTCGTGGCTCAAAACATAAGCCTATAGTTAAAAGGATTTATAAAGGTTGTATTGAAGTTGCATGTAAACCTATTAAAAATTCTGACGAATATATTCAACGAGAATTGGCAATAATTGGAAAATTATACTTATCTCCAAACATTCTTCGCTTTTATGGAATTTCAAATGTTGATAATAATGACGTTATGGTTCTTAATTGGGCTGAACATGGAAATTTAAAAGAACTTTATAATAAATATGATATTGCATGGTCAAGAAAAATCCAAATAATTCTTGATATCTGTCGTGGTATTTCATTTTTACGTACTGTAAATATTTTTCATCACGATGTTAGATGTGAGAATATTATGGTATGTATAATTTTTAATTCGTTTTTTTTATGATGAATCGATTAGCAATTAAATATATTTATTGGTAATTGCTTAAATTATATAGATAACTAAAGCATTAGAACCTAAACTCGCAAATTTCAGATTTGCACGTTCAACTTCCGCAACTACCACTGATCTTTCTAAACACTTGAATGAAGTTATCCGTTGGATGGCTCCTGAACAAATCAAAAGGTATTCAAATGAAAAAAAAAGTGGATATACCTTTAATTGTGAAATGTTCAGGTATGTCTGTATGTATCGTGTAAATTCAAATTTATCTATAAAAAAAAGTAATAATAACCTATTTAATTCTATTTTTTTCATCTAGTTTCGGAATGCTTATTTGGGAATTTTGTTATGAAAAGATTCCTTATCAACAAATGGGTATTAAAGAAATTATAGATCATGTTACGAATGGTAAAAGAGAAAAACTTAGTCTTGGAAAATTTATCGCTCCCAATGATCGAAAAATTCAAGAGAAATTTATTAAAATAATTGATAAAAGTATGTTATATATATATTAAACCAATTATAATAATTTTAGATATTAATTTTATATTAATTATCGTCGTATTTTTATATTTAAATTTAATTTAAATAGTGTGGCAACATGAACCGCACAAACGAATAACTTTATCAAAGTTATTTATAAGGATTGAAAAATTGTCTATTTCTTACCCTGCTAATGCTCTCGGCCTTTTGGAAAATGGTGCTTTAAATATTGATGGAATACTCACCGAAAAAGAAAAGGAAAAAGAAAATTTACCTAAATTTAATGAAGGTGAATTAGTAATAAATGATGATTTTTCAAAACCATTATTATCTCTTGATGAAGGAATAGCTCTTCATAAAAAGAAAGATTATGCTGGTGCTTGGAAAT